ATGAATATTTGAGTGTCTCTTAAATTTTAAAACTTTGAAAAAATAACATTTTTACTTTTGTTTCTAAATACTTGTTGCAAAATAAAATTCTCACATTTGCCTTGTTAAAGTCTATGAGAAGACGGAACATGTCACCAAAATAATTTTTCTTTTGTCTTTATTCACACACACACACACACACACACATATATATGTTCAATAAAGTCTGGTGTACATATGACCGGGGGGGATTTTTTTTTGTTTTTCTTGAATTAAGTTAATGTCTTCATTTTATGGGTATTTCTTCTCTTAGTGATGTTAGTTGTTGAATGCATTGTGTATTTACCAGCTCCCTTTATTGTAACATCTTGTGTTAGCTAGGGAGTATAAATGCCCATGTTACCAAAAGAGCAAATACCTTCTGCCTAATATTTGTGTGCAATAGCACACACAAAACTGGTTATCATAGCTGGTCATATGTATGCTACATTTTATTGTAGAAAATAAAAGGCTCTGTCAATCTGATATTGTGCCCTTTGTCTTGGTGTTCAATTTTAATATAATCCTTTGGGAGCTCTTTCTTTTTCTTTTTTTTTTTGTGTGTGTTTCATATATATATATATATATATATATATATATATATATATATGTAGTAATCCACAGACAGACTGTTGTATCACAACTCCTCAGTGTGGCTAGACATCCAACTGCTTCAACCCAGGATCGAAATCAGTCAGATATCTTACCTCTAGGCCATCATCACATGGCAGAAAACAACAGAATTTTAACATTTTTCTCTATACAAAATAACGCCAGTTGCTCAGAGAACTCCATTCAATTTAGTTGAAGAGTAATGCATAATAGCAGTAGGAGCCACTGTTTTTTAAAACCCTTTTCCCAAGACCGCTCAACTGGATTTCTGGGAGCATATATATAGTTATCCACAGACAGACTGTTTCACTGTATCACAGCTCCTCTCAGTGCTAGAATATATATATATATATATATATATATATATATATATATATATATATATATATATATATAATCTGAAACATGCTTGGTTAAATAATATAGACAAGTTCTTTCTATCAATTTTTTATTAAATTTTTCAAATTTCAAAATTAGTTGTAACATGTTATTGGTAAATTTGCCAAAGTTCCTATGTTTATTTTATATTATTTCTTTCTTGAGGTCTTTCAAATCTTGCTACATTCATTTTCAAGGAGTGTTCTGTGTCTATTTATGCAACTGTTTTCTTTAATTCCGGTGTTCTCAGATTTAATGGAGCCAATTTCATGACACTCAAGGTGACGTCATATAAATGATCAAACTGAATTTTTTTTTAATAGTATAAAATAATAATAAGTTGATAGCCAGAACTTGTTCGTATTATTTAACCAAACATGTCTGAGAGAATTATTGTTGAAATGAAATATATATATATATATATATATATATATATATATATATATATATATATATATATATATATATAGTTAAATTCCCAGATCAATTTATCTTACTTATTATAAAATGCAGGTTTGTGTGTGTGTGTGTGTGTGTGTGTGTGTGTCTGTAACGTTTATATGTTGGATTGAATTTCCTACATTTTTTAGCCGATTTCAACAAAACTTCACAGGACTACATAAAATTACCTTGTAGTGGTTCTAACGGGGCCGAAAATGGGGAAAAATACAGTTGTTTTTTAATAAAATCAATTTGAAAACACGATTAAGACACATCGTGAGAATGAAAAGGGGAGAACTCACCCATGAAAATGTAAACAAAAGAGCATAGCATGATGAAAAAGACGCCGAACTTGACGAAAAAAATTTTTTATCGTCTAATGTTCATATTATTATTAAAGAGGAAAGATCAAAGTATTCTGGGGTATTTTTTTACATTTTTTAATCGTTCCTAGCACGTCTGAAATTTTCGTTTAAAATATTGTTTTTTTTTGGTCAAAAAAAAAGGGCAGATAATCATTTTCAATCATTTTTTTCGATTTGATAAAAAAGATTAAAATCTTACTTTGATATTCTTTTAAAAGTCAATTATCATTTTTTCAAAACTGATTTTAATAAAAACAGATATTATACTGTTTATTTAAAATATTTTGAACCAAGCTTAACTTAGCTTCTGCGCCGAAAAAATGTAATTTGAAAATAAAACAAAGCAGGTCATAACCTTTCGCGTCGCTTGACGATTGACGAAAGGCACATTCATGACGTTTAGATAACTTACGGGAGGAGAATACTTTCTACGGATGGAAGGAAGTGAAATTATTTAAGTGAACAAATTATTTACCTTGTTACTTTTAAGGAAAACTTTCAGCGCTCTAATTTTTTTTTTTTTTGTACTTAGCTTTCATTTTTACGTTTACGATGCTTTATGGAAAATATAAAGAAATTAAAAAATAAGACTGTTAATAGTGAGATTAAATTTCATAAGAAAAAGGTATCTAATTAATTTAGGTACCTTTCTTATGAAATTTTATCAGAAGTGTACATAAAATACTATAATTTTATGTACATTTATTACATTTTACTGTGTTATTTGTATTTCCATTCATTTTATTATTAATTTTGATATTTCATTTATGGAAAAATGTCATAACTGAGATTAATATAAAATAAGATCATATAAATTAAAGTTTAGCAGTAGTTAAATTTCATAAGATGATACTGTTACTTGTAGGTACCCTTCTCAGTTGAAATTGAAAACTCAAATTAACTTCTCCATACGTGTTTCGCAAAAGTAAAGGGTTTAACAGCAGAGAACAATGCTGAACTCAAATAATGCAACTAAATTGTATTCTGGTTGGTCTTCCGTACTTGATAATTACTGTCCAACTATAAACACAAAATTACATTTCTTAATTACCATGGCTAATCTGATTTAAATTATACAATTTTCAAAGCGCTAGACAATGACAATCTCACACGGACATTTTGAAAGGTTGATGTTGCTTTTAACTAATGTTAAAATATTTTTAAAATTCAATTTAAACATTTTTTAAAAATCTTTTTAAAATTAAAGAAATAAGAAATAATTGTATTAAAAATTCAATTTTCATTGAAAAAATTTTTTGCCTTTCAGAAAATATTGTCCATATTCATAAAAACAAATTAAAACAAATAAAAGCATTTGAAACTAAATAATATATTTGTTTTATTGAGTTTTGTATGTTACAATTCACTGCTGATTTTCAGGTACAAAAAAAAAAAAAAAAAAAAAAAACATGATTTGCATTCTTCAAAGCCTTGTGCTTTTAACTATTGTAATCACTAAAACCGATGGTCTCGAAATTCTAGAGTTTTTCATAAAATTAGTTATGGGGGTGTTAATAAATATAAAAAGAAATATTTCTGCCATGACTTTAATAAAAAAAAAAAAAAATATTTATAATAATTTCAATCATCTGTGAATAGTTTCTGAAAGTTTCATTAACATCTGACAATTATTTTTATTTTTGCAAGATTTTCCAAATTAATGTGTGTAAATAAAAAAAATGCGCTAAAAATTATCTATGTTATTTACTACCCCTTGTTGCGACAAAAGAGAAACAAGGTTTTTAAATCAAAATTTAGAATATTCTAAAAAGATGGAAAAATTTTTAAAAAATAATTAAAAAAAATTTGTCTATCCTCTTCATAAAAACATTAGCATTTTGATGATAAAATTTTTTTTTCATAAACTTTGGTGTCTTTTTCATCAGACTATGCTCTATGTTTTAGCGATTCTGTGGAGTGACTTAGGTTAAAAAAACCCAGGTTGTTTGTGTGTGTGTGTGTGTGTGTGTGTGTTCCTTTATATATGGGATTGGATTTCTTACATTTTTCAGCCGATAAAACAAACATCCACTTTTTTTTTCGGCAGGTAGTATTTCTTATTGTCTTGCACAATTTTTTTTCTTTTATTTACATTCAGAATGCTTTAAAAATTCCATTTACAAGACAATTGTTTATAATAAAATTCTATTCACCAATCGATAGACTCAACGATTGTAAACAATGTTTTTGTTTGAATTTGGGTTTGACCAATTTGTAAAAAAAAAAAAAAAAACTAATTAAGACATGCATGTCCGTCAACCTTAAACAATAATCTTTGTCAATTTTATTTTTCAGTCTTTATGATGGTCGATACTTGATCTATCTCTTACTGTTACATCCCCGGGCAACGCTGGGCTCTACTGCTAGTATATATATAAAATCAGAAAAAGATTGCCTACGTATGCTCATTACAGAATGTAGTTATAGTAGCCTGATAAGAAAAAGAAAAATATTTATTGCATATTATTCAGACATTAGATAAATACAAACATGTGACATGTTAAAAATTTGAATTTTTGGGCATATGTGTTCTTTCTCAATGAAAAAAGACGTGTGTGTGTATAATGTCTGTCTAACACTTTATTATTGATGGAAAATGCAAACTGGACACTGGCCTCTTCATAACCATCAACCCTGAGTTGCTCTTGGGCCTTGAGCCAAATTAACAACAACAGCAAAATCTCAGATTGGAATGAGTTGTAATAATTAAAAAAAATCTGTGACTCATACAAAGTCAGATATTATAAAATGCCTCTATATTTTCTACAATTGTTATCAGCTTACATCAGTCAATAATTCATCAGTTGCCATTAATAACTCTACTCAGGTTAATTGCATTAATTAAAAACTTAATTTGGTCCTTGTCAACATCACTGACTTTTATAATTCTATCTGATTTCTTTAAACCCAACATCAGCTTATCAATTCAATTATCTTGCATATTTAGTATATTAATGTCAAGGATTTGTAAATATTATTTTATTTACACATTAAAGGGTTCTTTTTTATTTATTTTTTTTATTGATCAACCAATCTCTGTTCATTGTCTTCCTATGTTGAAGGGAATTCTCATGTCTTTCATAATTTTAAAATTAGTCAAAACAAAATACAATAATTGACTAAAAATATTCAAACAATTGTTATACTACATTTTAACTATGATTTTTGTTTATCTTTTTTCTACAGGTAACAGAAATTCTTGATTACTGGGGTCCAAATTCAGGCCCTCTAACTTGGCGTTTAACACCAACTGAAGTTCGGCAGGTTTTAGCATTGCGGTAATTATTGACTGAATTTATTAAAAATACATCTTACTTTGATATCTTCTGTAATTTTGAAATGTGACATTATCAATCCAAGAGTTGTTTAAACTATTGACAATATTTTTTTTGTTGCTACAACATCTCAGCTAATCTATTCTATGACCTTCTTCAGATGAGCAAACCCATTTGGAAAGAGGATACAGAGTTTCTTCTTTATAATGCAAATCAGAAACTAATAGCAAACAGCAGATTGAAAAATGTTATACTATATTTTAGCTATCATTAACCATGCAGACAAATATATGAAGTTAAAATAGTGTTGATTTTGCTGAAATGTGAATTTGTTTGCTAATAAACAAATGATTGGAGAAAATTTTATCTTATAAAACATTGACTTGCCTGTGTTATACGAGTCTATTTGGCACCACCTTTCAGTGTGCTACTGTATTTTGGTTTGTACTTTAAGGAAGAAAAGACTTGCCTCTTCCTGTATAAATTAGATGTTTGAATAAGAATGTATTATGGATTGTTCTGATTTATGGTAACAAAGGAATAAAAAGTAAAAGTTCTGTTGTCTGAACACTCTTTTCCTTCCTTTTTTTTTTTTTTCTTCAAAGCAAACCTGTAATCCTAAATGGAAATATTTGATCTGATGCACTATTAACCATTCAACCAAATATTTCAAACTTTGCTAACCAGATGCTTCTTTATGGCTGAATGGTTAACAGCACATCAGATCAAATGATGGTTTCCTTTAGGGTTACAAGTTCAATTCCTATCAGAGAAGCACATATTTTCTATGAAATATCTTGAACATTCAGGCCAGTAAATGTAATTAGTACTGATTAATTAAAAAAAAACAGAGCATTTACTTAAATAAATTATATCTAAAAAAGAAAATAGCATATAAACATAAAATATATTAAAATATATAAAGGGGATGGATTTGTATTTATTAATCCAACAAATTTTTATTACTTCGACATTATTTTTAGTGCATACTTGTATTTGAGTAGAAACTCCATTTATTTATTAAAAAGTATATTTATTTTCATCTACCAGCCTGAAAAAGATTTCTTGAATATTCAGGCTGACAGACAACAATAAATAAATATGCTGTTTAATAAATAAATGGAGTGTCTACTCAAATATGTGTATCCACTAAAAATAATGTTTAAGATTCTTTTGTTTAGAATGATGGATGAGGGTTCAGTAGTTTTTTTTACTAAACAACCTACACAAGTGAATTGTTTAAAATGGTTAATTGTCTGTGTCCTGCAATGCACACTCTCCCCCATCATAGCACCATATACTGTATCTCAGATGATGTTAGAATTGCAAGCTTTTTTGAATAGGGCTTCTCCATCTGGCTGTTGGCTCCTATGAAAAGCTCATCCACCTTTTTGCCAACCCTCTCCAGGCTGGCTTAGATTTAGAGTTTTTCTCTTCTTCTAAACTGGTTGCCAACCAAGGTTATAGGTCCCTGTCTGTCCTGCTATTTATTTACCCCTAACTGGGGTGACAAAACACCTGCACATCCCAGCACCTGTTATTCCTAAGCAGTCACCCATCTAGGTACTGATAAGGCTCAACATTGCTTAACTTTGGTGATTGGATAAGAATTGGTGTTTCAACACGGTATGGCCATAAATGAACACACACACATACACCAAACCTACAGTGTTGGAACTAAGTGCCAGACAAAGTTCCTTGATCACTCATTGAGTTTCCATTCCTGTCCAGAATGTAGTGTACCAGTTTTACTGTCATACAAATGGCTGCTCAAAACACAAGCTTTTAAACTTTCCAAAAGTGTACCAATTTTCACCAATTCATTTTTTAAAATGAATTATTTATAGATAAGATGTAAGTAAATGAGTCGGCAGAGTGATTGCTGGAGGTCCATCTACGAAACTAGTTGGGGTACTGAAGGTAACATCAATCAACTAAGTGACAAAATTTATCTTTGTATTAATCACACACACACACACACACACGCACACACACATTTTTGTTTTCCACTGTTACTTTAAATATATTTACAAAACTTTGGAAAGGGAAGTGTTTTCAAATTTTACTACTTTAAAATATCCTATATACTCTTACAATTTATCTTTTGTATTGGCATCTGAAAAAATTACCTGTCATTTATTTTTGACATCTTATGACAAACTTATTCCTAACACTTCCCTTTCCAAAGGCTAGCAGTTTATTATTGCATTTTTTCCTATTACAATATCATCATCTTTTTATTTTTTAAAAAAACCCAGTTATTAATTTTTGACTATTTTTTCTTTCATCTTTAGTTTCTTTTTCATTTTTTTAAACTTTGAGGTTGTTTTTTCATTCTACAATCTTTAAGTTCACTTCCCACTATATTCAAATTTGCATTCCCTCTTTACTCAATTTCTATTAAGTCTCCTGAGTGGTATTTGTAGTCTAATCAGTAAAGTGCTGCCTTGGTTAGACAGGCTTCCAAAGATAGAGATGTAGATAAAAATCTTGATTGGAGTCAATTCTTTGATTTTTCTATTACATATTGCTTACTTAATGGATGTGGAATGTAAAAACAAGTCTAGTATAATAAAAAGCAACTAAAATAAGATGAAAGAAAAGATAGTAAAAAAATTGACAATGTTTCTTTAAAGATGTTCAAATACACACTGATATTTTGTTCTTTTTCTTTCAGAATTGATTTCCGAAGTGAAGATATTCGTCGACTCAAATTATAATTGACAGATGGCCAGCTAGGGCTTTCATGAGTTTTTGACATGACTATTTTTTTAGAGTCATTTTGGGTAGAGCTGCCATTTATATTTTTAAGGTTGTGTATATTTATTGGGAACATCAAATGGAATAATTGTCTAATACTTAGGCTTGGATACCAAATCTTTAGAACTTCATCTTTAAACTTCACAATAAAAAATAATAAGAGATGTGAAAATGATTTAACATTACATATGAGAAATTATTGAAAGATTAGTTTTCAAACACTCCATTTTTTTTTTAATTCATTTCTTTATTCCTATTTCTACAACATATTTTTAGAATTTAAAATTTAAAAAAAAAACTAAATATTTTATATGTTACATTTGTTAATAATTGGGCTTTTTTTTATTTAAAGATATATTTTGATTTTGGTATATATTTAAAAAAAATTATTTTTCTTTATTGATGAAAAATCTATGATTGTTTTTATAAAACTATTTTTTGAGTTGGCATTGTTTTTCTAGCTCTTTCAATAAAACTCATACCAAATTGTTGATATCGTGATTAATTTGACCATCTTTTTCAGATTCAATAATATAAATCATGAGGGCTTTCCAGTTTTGAAAATCTTTTGGCATTCATGATCTTTGTATAAATAAGTTATTTTTCCAGACATAGGGTGTTTTTTTATTTATTCATTAAAAAAATAAACTTTATTCTAGGTAAATCTGTTACTTTAGTGTCTAAACAGCTGTGTATCTTCATGGATTTCAGACAGCAACATTTGAAAACAGAAATGTTAAATAATACACTTAGCTTAACAATTGAACAGTATCATTATGACCCTATGGATTGTTTTTCCAATTTAAAGTTGAAATGAACAATATTTGTAAATAGTCTTTGGAGGAAATAAAACTGTATCTTTTGTATTTTGGACTCTGGTTTTTTGTTATTAAAGAGATAAAAAAAAATATCAAAACATTAGCAATATTTCCTAGGCCATATTAGAGAGATATTTGATATTCATGGATTTGTGTGTCTGAGTGACTAATGTCTGTATCTCTGATGTTATTTTTCAATTGACACACTTCACCAAGTGTTTATATATCAGCCAAAACATTATTATGAAAACAACTAAGATTAAAATGTTACACTAAAAACAATTATTGTATGATGCAATATTATGTCAGAATTTCAAACAGAAATTACAATTTTTTTTTTTTGTAATCATTTCACCCCAAGCAAGGTGACAGTACTACTAGAATGCAGGGGGTTACAGGGAGTGGAAATGAATGAGAAGACTATAGTCAGGGAAGGACATTAAAGGAACAGGGTTCAATTAAACAGAAGATAGCAATTGATATTGCATTTAAATTTTGGAAGATTGCAAGTGGCAAGGAAACAAGAAATTAGTTCCACAGGTGGACAGTGCAAGAAAAGAAACTATTAGAATAGAAGTGGCAGTTGCATCTAGTTAGTCCAACAGTAAAATGGTGAGACCTAGTTGCCAATCTAGTAGCACATACAAATTCATGTAGTTGAGGCACCAGGAATAAAAGCTCATGAGAACAGTTGCTATGAAAATATTTATAGAAAAGACAGAGGGAAGCCATATCATGTCAGTGAGAAAGTAAGTGAAATCCTGATTCCAGATCAGGATCAACCACATTACAGACCTTTCTTTGAATTTTGTCAAGAACTTCAATATGAATAGCAGAAGCACCAAACCAGATATGTCAGCAACATTCAATGCACAGATAAATGGTAGATTTATAAATGTGCAAGATGGATTCTGACGAGAAAAAATTTCTGGCATGGCACAGTGGCCCAACTTTTATTGCAGTTGACATAGCGATTGATTCTATATCGTCACTCCATTTAATGTCAATTGAAAATGGGAGCCTAAGAAGGCATAGAGTGTTACTCTCCTGGAGTCTAGCGTCAGTTATGCTGATGGTAAGCAGAAAAAGTTCAATGTAATTATTAGATGAAAGAAGTTTTGTTATAAAAGGAAACATTTTTTAATAATAACTTTGGTGATTTTGTGTGTGTGTGTGTACAGGGTACGATGGGTAAATTTTTGCCATTTTATGTTTTTAATTTCATGCATGCACATTTTTTTGAGTTTGTTAGGGTCAGTTGGGCACTGTCTGTGAAAAAGAAAGCACCATAGCACAATTCACTCCATCACAAATTTGGAAACGGCATGCTGTACTGCTTGGCATTTGTACTGGAAGCTCCATTTCGGACATTTCAAAATGTTTGGGTGTCAATCTGAGGATAGTGCAGAGGATTCAGAAAGAGGTGAATGAGTCTAATGGTGATTATGAAGGTACAGCAGATTGGAAAAATTCACTCTGATCATTCTGATAAGAAAACAACTCCTGAATTTGTTGGTGAGGGCCTCAGACTCAACATGGAGTCCTACAGCAAGTGCTTTAAGGAGGTAGTGCTGCTCTGGGACAAGAGGGTGGCTCCAGAAGGACCCTTTGTCTGGCAACAGGACTCTGCACCATGCCGCACAAGCAGGAAAACCTAGTCAGGGCTGTCAGACAATTTCTGTATCCACATCAACCCTTACATCTGGCCACCTAACTCCCCAGACTGCAAGCCCCTTGATTATTGTGTCGGGGGTGGGGGGAGTTGAATGAGAGATAAACAAAAATCCTTGTAACACCAAAGATGAAATGAAGGCAAGGATTATGGCAGCATTTACCAACTTAAACAAGGAGACCGTCCAGAAGAGATGTAAAAGTTTCTGAAGTCATTTGGAAGCCATGGTTGAAGCCAAAGGTGATTTTATTGAATAAATTTACTCAATTTATTACTATTTCAAGATACTTTTGTGCAATTTTAGTAAATATATCTGTTAAAATGAGATGTCAGTGTTATTTTCATTTTTGCCTAATTTAGACAAATTATTCATTGCACCCTCTTTATGTATGTATGCGTGTGTGTGTGTTTTATATATATATATATATATATATATATATATATATATATATATATATATAAATGTGAGAAAAACAAATGGAGTAAAATTCTACTGTTCATAGCATTTAATTTTTTTTTAAAAGTGCTCAATGCAAAGTAGAGCAATATATTATTTTTATTATAAGGGATTAGAACAAAAACATGTTGAAATTGCTACACAATAAGTTACAAGTTAGCAAACTCTGCACTTAAGAATCCTATGTCCTGATCAAAAGGATCATGAACCTGATTTTGAGGTTAATCTTCCCACTAGAATTATCAAACCTACCAGGCCAGAAATTGGAAGGATTAGCAAGGTCACTCTTGATAGTCAACCAGCTGATTAGAAGGCGCTTTGGACTTTTACAGTGGACTAATGCCACAGATGTCATAAATTGGTTCAATGTTATTAGTGATAAAAGAAATTGTTCTTTTATCTAATTTGATATGGATTTTTACCCATCTATTTCCAAGGATCTTTTTGCTTTGGAATTTGCCAGGAAATACTCAGATTTTTATAACGAGGAGCTTGATATTATTATGAACTGCAGAAGATCTGTTCTCATCTACAACAATGAACAGTGAATTTAGAACAATTCTGTTGATCAATCTGATATTTCCATGGGCATGTTGTATTCTGCAGTCTTTCAGACCTTGTTGGTTTACTTATCTTATATAATTTTAGTGCCTATGATGATGTTAACATGGATGATATAAGGTTATATAGAGATAATGGCCTTATGTTAGTGAAAAATTCCACAAAAATTAAAGCTGAAAAAATCAGGAAATTAATACATAGAGAATTTAAAAGTCTTAACCTTAAGATCAACAGCAAAAAATGTAGGTTTTCTTTATGCTACATTAGACCTAGTTAATAATGTATTCCAACACTACATGAAAACAAATGCCAATCCAATATACATCCACCTGAATTCTAACTACCCTCCATCTGTAATCAAACACATACCCTCTTCTATAGAATATAGGATTAGCAATAACTTTTTCAGTGAAGATGTCTTTTACAAGCAAAGTAAAGCTTGCATCACTACCTTAAAAAATAGTGACTATAAATGCACTGACATCAAATATATAAAACAACAGCAGACATAGAAATAGGAATAGAAACGGGAAAATCATTTGGTACACACCCCCATTTAACCAAATGGTTATTACTAAGTTAGGGTAGAAATTCCTCCATTTAATTGATAAACACTTCCCCAGAAATAATCAAATCAGTAAAATTTTTAACAGAAATACACTAAAACTAAGCTATAGCTGTACCGATAATCTTGAAAAAATTATTAAAAAACATGATGAAATTTTAAATCAATGCAAAAACCTGAGTAATAATAGCCATTCCAAAGCAACAAACACTGATAATAACAACAAGTGTAATTGTAGAAATTCTAATGAGTGCCCTTTGCAAAATCGATGTCAAACTGACTCTTGCGTTTACCTAAGCACTATTTCTACTATAAAAAGTTTGACAGTTAATTTTATATTGGGAGTTCTCTTAGAACTAGGTGGTATCAACATATATTATCTTTCATCAATAACACTTATAAAAATATGACATCCCTTTCTAAATACTTTTGAAACTTTAAAAAAGTCAACAAAACCTCTACAGTAAAATGGAGAATACTAAAAAAACTAGAACCTATAAATCTTTAAATGAACCCTTTCTTATGCTTACATGAGCAACTAGAAATTATCCAATTTGCTGATAAAAAATCTCTATTAAACCAAAGAAGTGAATTAATTGTAAGTTGCTGATACAGTTTATCTTTTACCTTACAATATAGTTAAATTTTAAAATTAGGTAGTATCATTTCTCATGGCTATAATTAATAAGTAAATAACGGTCCACCCTCTATGAGTAATTATTTTGTTTATTCGGATTTAGATTAGCTATATATTGCTGTTCAGTTAGTATTATTAATATCTTATATAGATGTTCCACATTTTTAATTTTATCTACAAGTTCCTTTAAGAAGCTTCCTGAATCTGAAATTAAAAAAAAAAAAAAATTCTGTTGAAACTAACTTTAGGT